CCACGAAGAAAAGGATTTTTGAAGTTCGGAATGTGTTATTCGGAATCAGCGTCCAAAGACAAACCAGAATATGTATTAAAATCGAAAAAATAAAATTCACTTGAATTTTGATCTAGCTGAACCTTACAACCTCAAGTATGAAGTACCGCATTTAAACTAACGTCATTTACACAAAAACTTGTTTTAATTATTTTATTTAATCTGATTTAATGTTATTTTCGAAAATCATTTTTTCTTTGATACTTTTTTGACTTATTTTACAAAATTGAGGTAATAAATGTGGACATTGAAACATTACGTGTGAGGATGATAGTGATAGAGGATGTTGATTGATTGTGGTGGCTTATTTAAAACACGATAGAATAATCAAATTGACATATCACTAGGTTTCTTATAGAGAAAGATTATGATGCAAACAATTGAATCAGAATTGGAGAATGACGGAGATCAAATAAACAAGGACAAATAGAGAAGAAAAATTAAATTAATTGTGCAGTGTTAGCTAGCGTAAATTAACTTCAAATTCAACGCATGATATAACAAAATTTTCTGTAAGAACTGGTCCGGCGACCCTTTTTCTTGGCCTACTTAGAAGAACCTAATAAACATCAATTCTTTCACACAACTAGGCAAACTTTTGAAGTATTCTTCATTCAAAGTACACGCAAGTTACTTTTCTTCCAATCAGAGATCAGTCCAAACACACAGCTTCTTTTTTTAACTGCAAAACATCTGTCCTCCCAATTGCATGAATTTTTTTCAGTAAGGGAAATTTTTGTAAACTGTTGGGAAATCAGTTTTTCGTCATTTTGGCTCAAAATTATACTAGGTCATTTTCCTACAGAAATCGTTTCCTATCCATAGCTAAACATCTTTCAAAAATAGATTGCACTTCTCCTAGCCTGCTTTTCCTGGCATTAATCCTTTTTCTAATAAATGCGTGTTTCAGCTTTTCAGAAACGTCACGGCTGTCAACTTTATTCTTTCAAAAAAATTTTTAGTGAACTGTCGTTGTTCTACCGACTTTTCTTCTCCATGGCAAAGTCAAAATTTGAGCTCAAAGCTCGTCCTCTCTGGTTTCGGTTAAAAAATACTGTGTTATCTTCACATACTTAATTCATTTTAATGTTTTTAATTTGTTCAATCTAAATGGAATAAAAAAAGAAATGCAATTAAGCTTGAAAGTTATTTGAATTATTTATTTTTCAACAACTTTCATTTTTTAATTACTGAGAATGTTAATTTTCATTTTAAGCAAGTTATAAAATAATTATTTTTCCCCAATCATAGTTTTACAACTTAATATTCATATATTATGAAAAATATTTTATTTTAGTAACTTAATAAGCCAAAGATTTGTTATAAGATTTAAAATATAATTTTTAAAACTAACTTTTTTAAAATTATTTATTATAATATAAGTAAGCGCACTACTATAGCCAGTTGTACCAAATTATCAAAAAATCTGTTTTAGTTTAGTGTAAAAATTTTTCCTTAGTTAAAAACAGCCAAATTTTGTCCGGCTCACTCATTAAGCATAGCCATGTGAAATGAAGACTGATCGATCGTGTCATACAAACACAAAAATAATGAAACGATCTCTGTTTGAACGTTTACTTCTTTAAAAAAATGAGTCTGGGTCTTTTGACTTCTCCTTAAAACAAACGCTCTTTCAAATGTTTTGAGACCGTTTTCAAGAGGTAGTTTGTCAGTTAATGACTTTAAAATGGAACTTCTATCTCGCAAGAAATATGCAAACTTAACTGAGGAGCTGTGCAGGTCACAAAGTAGAAGCCAAAAAGGAAAAATAGAGCACAAAAACTCTCCATATGATGCAGTATACCAATATCGGCTCTTCTTTTTCTATTACTATACAACAGTCATCAAAGTTGATATAAGCTACTTTTATTTAAGAAAATCAAACGCTCCAAGCTAATTCGGCGAACCATTACATACCTGAGGAGTTATCTACATCAAGTTTTCCTTACCGTGAGCATCAGAGTTCAGAAGGAATTTTCTCAAAATGGAAACAACAAAGCTATTCGATATGCACCAATCCAAGATCAAGGAAAAAGAATTAAAAATATTTAACCGACTGTTTTAAGCAGCTTTCTCTTTTAAAAGAAAAAACAGACAATCATGATACAACAAAATATGGCACAAAACGAGAAAAAAATCAGAGATCACAAAAAAATATGACTTTTAATTTTGTTCAACGGACGAGACGCGGAAAAAACAACGACCAACGTTTTGTCTTCGTGCACGAAGACCTGTAACATAATGTCTGGGAGACTGTTTATAAAGACCAAATTTAATGTCATTTGCACGTATACGATGACGAGGAGCTATATAAACATATAAATCAAGGTTCAATAATCTTTCTAGTTCTTGATTTGGACGTGATCGCATTATTGACTAAAATAAATAGAAAAAAGCATAAAGTTAAATGGAAGAAAGATCAAGTTAGAAAAGGGCTTTTACTTTACAATTTCTTTTTAAATACAAATATTCGTCGTTGGTTATTTTTTCTTTTTTCGTTTGCCGAATGCCATCATTGCAACTACCTAAGAAAAAATATTCATTTTTAACTTAACTAAGAGAAGAATGGATGCGTCAACGATATACTCCAAAATACCGTGTTCTTCCTGTTTTGAAAGAACTAGTTACAGATCTTATATCAGCTCTTTGAAATATGATACACTTGATTTTTATTTTTCAATAAAAATGAGTTTTTCATTCACTTCATTTTTTGTTACAGAAACTTAAGCTTATCCTTGAAAATTTCTCTTTATAGACAACAATGTGCACAGTTCGAGAACATATTTGTTCTTGACAAAGTCCTGAAATTCGACTCAAACCCTACGAATCGAGTACCTACGGTTTAGAGCCTGATTTGACGCGGATCGAATCAGGTTCCAAACGTCGAGGTAGGATGTGGGTTACACAGTTTTCTCCACTCATGTAGGACTCCAGTTGACAATATTTATACAGTATAAAAGATAACTCGACATATGATCATCGATATAGTATTGATCAAAAAAAAAGTTGACTGGTGAAAAGGATTCACAGATGCAGATTTTTTGAAAAAAGGAAATAGAATATATAAATTAGGTAAGAATTATAAATAGGAAGAATAGTAACGTGTTTTTTACTACAAAATGCTCGGTTGACTGTGGTTAATTGACGGTTTTTTTCCTGAGCTGGCGATATGAGTACAAATCCTCTTCTGAACATTTTTTCAATTTTCTTTTGAGTGTGTGTTCATGTGTTCCATCCAGTAAAACTGTCGATTAGTCAAAGTCCATACCGATGAAATTTTGGACTGAGCAGTATCTGTCTGTTTGTCAAAACTCTTAGATGCAAGTCGAGAGATATTTAGACTAAGTCGAAGTTCACACTTCAAGAAGTCATGGACAAAAATTCTGAAGTTTTCGATAAATCATGTTGTCCTTATGTACATATAGTGACCACAAAACAAAACGGTTAACCGTCGGTTCTCCAAAATAACACGGTCAATTGGAGGTTAATTTTCCAAACCGCAGTATCAAAAATACCCGCGGTTAATCGCGCTTAATTGGCCGTTTATAGCAAACCGCGGTCAATTCATGGTTAATTGAAGAACCGTGGTTAACCAACGGCTTTCTGTAAAAATAGGCCACATTAGCTCTTCCTCCACTCAAGTCTAATTTATAAACTCAGAAGATTTACAAGAGAATAAACGATTAAAATAGTTGCTACACTATTTCTAGTCTATCATTTCAGAATAAAGAATATGTGCAAGATTACAGATTAAAAAAGTTCTTCCGGAAACGTAACTACTTTACATACCTTTCATTAAATCAAGCACAAGATTCTGTGCAATTGTACGGATATTATTTGTGTGTCGTTGTTCGTGTTCTTCTTATTCGATTTTGTGGTGCTTGTGCCAGCTGCTGATGACATGTTGTTTGAACATCTTCTTCACCCTGGTGTAGCTGTAGATAATAGTGTGCCGGACGCTGAGTTTGACGAAGATTCATTTTGTTGTTTTTCGAATCGAACGCGTAGAACGTAGACATAGACTATATTCTTTCTATGCTTATGTATAGATTAATATCATTCTTTCTTCTTTCTTTTTCTCTTATCTTGCAGAAAGAGAAAGAAAGAGGAGAATTCTGTTGATGATACAGAATAAAAGAATCTTATTAAGAAATTTTATCAATTGCACAATTCAATTTAATCTAAACTCAATCATATGTTTTTCTCTAAATAACCTAAATGAAAGAAAATAAACTTCATCTTTCAGTCCAAATGTTGACCTACTCTTCTGCAGAACGAAAATGTCGCTAATTATGAGTTTAGTGCATAACGAGTTAAACAGAAATTAATCCGGAAGTTGTATTTCTACTTTTATCATATCTGAAAGGGAAATTTTTCGACTACGTGTCGAGCTATTTTCGAGAAATAGATAGATACTGTCTGCTTTTTGAAATATAGAGCCACCAATACCACTGCTTAGATTCATCGACAACTAGAATTTTTATTTCTTATTGAGTAGTTAGATCACTTTTAAATGGACGTTTTTCATTATCAACACTTTCTGACTTTCTCGTCTGACCATTGTAGTGGGAGAGTATATATAGCCAAGCATCGTTTTCCCTCTAGTTTGGATTTTTTCCACGTGTTGAAACAAAGATATATTCATAGATTTTGCGGGGTTTAAAATAAAATTTCTTTCTCTTTTCACAAGTTTATCAGCCACCGTGTCATCAAACTAAAACGCTTTGATCTTTTTCACAATTTTTTATGTCATGAACAATTGTTTAACTTTTGTATAACTAGTGTGGTTTTCTTTCGCAGTTTACAAAATATTCTGAAACTCGTTCTAGTAGAACGATCTCCGTGTGCTCAACTTGAGTTTCCTGATCTCCTACC